CAGAGCTTGAGATAAGCTTCTCAAAATCGTAGCTTACTCAAAGAGCAAAACAGAACACAAAGAGATGTTGACGATTTCAATATTTGTAAGGTTTATATTCTCAGTGTTAAGCATCAGAAAGAATGAGTCTTCTTGATTCTTCAACTAAGTCTTAAGTCTTTATTTCCTCAATAAGATCGTGGACACACGCCTACAATCTCCTCCTCCTCTGTTTTTTCAAACCTAATTAAGAAACAGAGTAATACTGCAAATGGGTTTATCCAAATGCCATTTAACAATTCTCCATTGACAATTTCAATGTCTTTCATGATCTATAAAAAGCATGATACTATCATTCTTCATCTTCACCTCTCATTTCTTAAGCTAAAAGTAAAGTTTGGAAAAAGCCAAAGAGCTAAGAAATGGCAGTTAAAAACCTTCTTGCACTTGTAGTTCTTCTTGGAGTTCTTGGAGTTTCGGTTTCCGTTCCAAATGGAGGAGGCCTTGACCTTGACTACTACCGTCACAAGTGTCCCGACGCAGAATCCATTGTCCGTAGAATCACGATTCAATATGTTTCTCACCAGCGGAGTCTTGCTGCTGCACTTCTAAGGATGCATTTCCATGATTGTTTCGTTAGAGTAAGCTTTGCTTCATTGCTTTGCTTTTCAAAAACTCTGTTTTTTTAAGACCCGTGTTTAACACTTCTCTGTTTCATTTAGGGATGTGATGGTTCCATTCTTCTGAAATCTCCAGCCAAGGATGCGGAAAGAGATGCTTTCCCTAACTTGTCAGTGAGAGGCTACGAAGTGGTGGATGCCGCCAAGGCAGCCCTCGAGAAGAAGTGTCCCGGTGTTGTTTCTTGCGCTGATGTTCTTGCCTTAGTCGCAAGAGACGCTGTCTTAGTGGTAACGTTTCTGCATTGCATACTGATTGTTCTCATTCCAAAACCATTCAAGTAACTAAAGTACTAAAACTTCCTTTTGTTGCCTTTCTTACAGATCCAAGGACCATGGTGGCCGGTTCCATTGGGACGGAGGGATGGTCGCATCTCAAAAGCATCCGAGGCTAATCTACCATCGCCTTTCGTTGACGTAACTGTACTGAAGAAGAACTTCGCCGACAAGGGTCTTAACGCTAAAGACCTTGTCGTTCTCTCAGGTAATCTTCGATCATGTTATGTGTATAAAGTTACTAACTTGATCATGTTTCCAATAGCTGAATAATAAAAAATTGTGGTATCTTGAGCAGGAGCACACACCATTGGAATCTCTAATTGTGGTCTCATCAATGCCCGTATCTACAACTTTACTGGAAAGGGCGATTTCGACCCATCGATGAACCCTAGCTACGTTAGGGCATTGAAGAAAAAGTGCAAGCCTACTGACTTGAGGACCCCAGTGGAGATGGATCCAGGCAGTGGCAAGAAGTTTGACACTCACTACTACAATGCTGTGGCTCAGAAGAAAGGTTATTTCACCTCTGACTCAGCACTTCTCGATGACCCTGAGACCAAAAGCTACATTGAGACACAAGTTTCTACTGCTGAGTCTTCTTCATTCGCCAAAGATTTCGCCGACTCAATGGTCAAACTTGGTATGATTGAAGTTCTCACAGGGACAAACGGTGAGATCAGGAAGAAATGTGCTTTTGTTAACTAATGTGTGAATCGGCGAGTAAGTTTTCCGGGTGATGACTTGAGACCAAAAGATCTCTGCTTATTATCTTCTTTTTATTCCGTAATGAATAAAGTGTTGAATTATTTTTGTAATTTCCGTATCATGACTTGAGACCAAACGATGTCTTCTTATTATGTTCTTTTGTTCTGTAATGAATGAGATGTTTTCACGATTCATAGTTTGATTTTTTTTTCCTCAACGTCTTCTTCTAACTCTCTTATTCTTTACAATTCCAAATAAACCAAAATATGATCAAAATCAAATCAGAAAAACACAAACCGGATTCAATCAGGTGTAAATGGTATCCCAAACCGAAGCCTTTGAAATATGTCAAACCAAATATATGAGATTTAATTTAACCTTAGCAACAAAATTTTGAGTATTTTAAGTATGTATAGGTC